AAATAGTACTAAAAGTTAGCTACGCGACATGTGAGAGAGATGCGACCGCAAACATTTTACCATCAAAATTGTAATAAAGACTAGTAGGACAATGTTTTCAACCTTAAGAATCTTTAATTCTTTTTTACCCTTCTATCTTCCTCCCACATCAAAATATAAACCTTTTATGTGGATTTCGATAAACTTATTGAATAGCTTTGGTTAGTTTATGATTAGAGTTGGAAACCACTGAAATTTATACATGTTGGTGCATACATTTATACGAGAAGAAGACAATGTATAAAACGATTCTAGAGCTTGCAAAATTCAAGCTTAATTTGGGCCAAAAAAAGTGGAAAAAGGATCAGTGCATGGTTTAGACAATGCTCATTATTAGCGCAGGAGATCGAAAATAAAGAAAATGAAGAGATGCTAGAGAAAAAGATGAAGTTGCAAGTGTAAACCCATCTTGGACAAAATATCAATTTAGATCGATCTATTTCCCCAACGTCCCATGAATTGGACGGAATAGAAGTCATTATATACATAGCTTTAGAAAACTTAGGGAGGCTTATTGATCACTCACGAACTTTAGCCAGATTACAGGTTTTGGGTGAATTCCCTTTTTCAACGTCATACAAAGGGGAAAGCATGTAGAACAACTTAGGTGAACAAATGACAAACTAAAAAAGTAAGAAAACTAGATGTCTACACCAATGTAAGACTTTTGTAGTTTACACAGGTTTTTTAGGATTGACACCCTGTTGATAGACAGCAAAACCCATCCAAGAACACGGAAAAAATGAAACAGTTGCATCAATTTGTGCATTGCCTCACAAAAGTGCTTGAAGTAATGAATGCAAAGTGCAACGATACTTAGTGCGTTTTTTTATTCGCTACAACTGCAGTTACAAAGAATTGAGACATCTTGGGTCAGTGGTTGTTGTTTGTTTCACAACTAGTAACTACAGTTACAACTGCAATTGCAAAAAAAAAAAAAAACCTCCAGATTTAAATGAAGAACTTTTTTCAGTCAGGGTGCGCAATTGCCTACAAGCTGAAAGTTTTTTATTCCCACATGCTATACCACTGCATGCCACTGATACTTGCATTGCAGTTAGCTGCAGCGAACCAAACAACATTCTAGCCATTAATTCTCTAATCACATTTCATTTCTTTTAAGGCATTTCAACAAGCACCTTATCTTCAAACACCAAACTAAACCTCAAATTGGGAACAAAAACAATAATATTAATGTAAAACCATAAAATTAAGAAAGAAACACATGGGCAACATCAAAATCAAAACTTTTTAACTAAAAAGCTACATTAACAACTAGAGGAACAAACAATTAAGTAAAGTATAGAGAGGGGGAGATCACCAGAGAAGCCATGGGAGCGAGATCTTCGAACTGTTCTTCTAACAATGGAGAAATTAGAGGAATTTGGAGAAGAAAAAGAGAGGGTTTTCGGAGAATTCGAAGGGGAGAAGAGAAAGCGAGGAGCGGCGAGCCATTATCATCTCCATTAGAGTCAGCTTAGTTCTCGCACGAGTGAGGCCGCTGCTTGCGGATCCTTACTTTATCAATCTGATAATCTTTTCCGGTTTGGATCCGATAGATTGCAGAGTGGGTGTGAATCCTGGAAAGACAATCTTATCCGACCCGATAATGATCAAGATTCAAGAATTCCCCTCTCTTTCGCTTTTTCCTCTCTCTCTCTCTCTTTGTTTATTTTTTTATTTTTAATTTTTTAGTCAATATGAGGTTATTTCGTCATAAAATTCCTTAGATTTGATGATTCATCGCTATTACACCCGTTAGTCCAAAGAATAAAGGGGATGTATACGTGATAGGATTCAAGTGGCAGAACTTGTATGAATGTAGTGATATCTATTGATATAAATATGATGCTCCGTAGAAATTCTCCCTCTTCGATGTGGTGCAAACTCCTACGACCTAGCTGGCAGCACTCAAAGATGTGCATCACGGCTCCGGAGCTTATTCTGTGCCAAATAGCCTTTTAACACCCAAGACGATGCTCTAAAAAAATGATCTCAATTGAAAGATATGAATGTAGAAGAAGATGGTGCACAATATTTTCATATCTATGTTTTTTGAGAGATTGTTATATATGAGGTAGGAAAGAGATTGCTTTCATACTTGATGATAAATGATCATTGTGGGATGATGGATGTTAACTCGTGATTGGTTGAACATGTTAGACGTCATTTTTTCCATAGTAGTGATAAGGGGAGAGACCCTAACCATGTTCATTTGTTAACCCTAAGAGCATGTTTGGTATCAGAATTTCATTTCAAATATCGTAATTGGCCCAATTACATTGTTTGGATTCAAAAAAATTTGAATACCAGATATTAGGCTAAATCCATTAACCTTTTAAACCCATAATACACTCAGAATTCTAAATCCCTATGGATACCCTGTCATTTACAATTCCGCTTTTTTGTTTTCTCGACCCGCGATCTGTTTCTTTTCTCGACCCGCGATCTCTCTCTCTACCCCCACTTCTGTCAAACCCTAGCTCGTAGATCCAACCGGGGACGACGATCCAACCGGTGATGACGCTCCAAATGACGACGACTCGCAAGCACTAATCTCACCTCCGGTGACGACGGCAATACAACAGTGAGATCCTCTGATCCTCTATCTCCAGTTCCATCGACGCCCTTGATCCTAGATTCAAACTTTATTCTCAATGATATCATCAACAGGCTACTGGAGGTTCGATTGGCGAGGCCCAGATCCGAGATCGCTGTTGGCTATGGGTTCGCTGGGGTTGAATCTAGGGTTTGTCTCCAGCAAAGCGAGATTTTGGAGATTCTCTAGGTTTTTCTCTAGTATTCGATTCTAGGGCTTCTTTGATTCGAAGTTTTTTTTAAAGAAGATGAGCTGGAGATATAGAACTGGGTTGTTTCTGATTGGGGCTGTTGTTGTTATTTAGGTTTCCTCAGCTGAAGTCACCCAGGTTCAATTTTTCTCACTCTTCCTCTTTAGTTTTAGCTCTTTTGAGTTATTTTTGTGTAATTTTAGCTTGTTACGTTGTATTTGAGCCTGAAAGTTGCTCTTTGTTTGCTGTGTTAGTTTCAAAGTACTTATGAAGAATCATCATGAACACAAAGTTTCATTAGATAGGAAGGAGAAGGAAAAATTGTACTTGTAATGAAGAGCTCAATGGAATTGTACAGCATAACACAAAATTACTCAAACTGACAAACAAACAAGAACACATGAAAGTACTAAATTGATTAACAAGTAGGGAAATTCTTTGATTCCTCTCGTGGAACTTACAAGAAAAGGGGTAAAATGATTGTAACAACAACTGTGACCTAATACTAAGTGAATCACTTGACTCTATATTCATACCAGCTCTGGGAAGAGTATCTCATGTTAATTCGATCCTCGTTAGCAATGAATCACCATTCGCCTACGCTCGTTTAAATTTACCCTGGAGCAGCTTGAGCCAATATATCTCCTATATGTTGGTTGTATATTCTAAACTTAACAGCTATGAGAATATTGGTTGCCAGATCTGATGGACTAGCCATGGATTCTGATTTAGTTAATACTGCACTCCTCTTGGGACGACCCCGTCTCTCACCACACACTCCTCTCGGTGTACAAGTGTAATACAAAGTGAATCTCACAATAAGCACAATACAACAAATGATTGTTCTCTAATGATAATCAAATTTTATTATAATTTTATACCCTCATTATTTATTTTTAATGAATAAATATACCACTAATAATTGTTTTTTATCTTAATTGCAGGTAAGTGAAGAATAAAGCCAGATCTCTTATCTCAACAAAAACCCCATGAATTAAATGAAGAAGCACACGACGGCAGCAGAAGTGCAAAAAATCCGCAAGCCAGAATCAGCCGAGTCGCCTGTAGAAGCCGGAGAAATAAAAAATTAAATATGCGAAAAAAAAAATGTTATCAAGATAGTTGGCTGCAAAGAACGACGATATTTCCAATCCGAAGGCGGATTTAACATATAATATTGAAAATCGCGCGTATTCGACA